GAGGAAATTGATGACGTAGTAGAGAGGAGAGATCATAGAGCAAATGGTGGAATTGGCCTTTGATGGGGGAGGGACACTTTTGCACTGTACCTGGAGGAGGGGAAGAGGAGGGGACAGGACAGGGTTACTACTACAAGTACTGATTTGGTGGTAGGAGGATGGGGATTCACATCTGATGGCTTCTATTTTCTTGATGATACACGAGAAGCAAATCATTAGCTGAGATAGAAAAGGGAAGTTTGAGGAGAAAAGTGAAATTGTGAGTCACCTGAATCCTTGCAAAATTCATCCCTACAGAGTACATTATCCCCAGTAGCATCTAGTAGGAAGTCTTGCTCAGCAAACTCATTAAGTCTCACTGAGTGTCTCAAGGAAATCTAGAAATTTATGACTGGTGTGGGAAATCACAGGCACAGCAAATGCCCAAAATTTATGACAGAATGGGGGATGGTAAGGTTAGTGAGAATTTTAAGACAAATAAGAGGAAGTGCTTTTTACAGAAGTCATTACCTTAGAGGTATAAGCAGAAAATAGAAACGGACATTTATTTGAATTTATGAATGTTGCAGTAGACAACATCTAAAAGAAACTAGGATATGCCTAACTTCTACAGTTGGTGACGAATTATGTAAGGTGTTCCTTCACATTTTCCTAGCATTTCTCAGAAAACTCCTTTAAGTCTAAGTTTCCTGTTAGCTGGGTGGTATATGGTTTACGCTTCTCTCCCTTTCCCTCTGCGTATTTTCCATCTTCATCACAAAATTCCTTTACTATAACCAATATGGGCTCTGGGGAGACGTGTTAAGAGCATGGAGAGCTGGGGTATTTCAAGTAAGTAATAATTTCCACACTACTTTAACTTAAAAACCTCCTGTTAGTGCATACTAGCTGGTTCGTTTGTGGCAGTGGAGCAGAAGGTAGCGGACTATGCCACCCCCAAAACATGCCACTTTGGCATAAGGATTATTTTCAGATGGAGGAAATTGAGAGAAAATAGACTTGCCTTCCGTTCCGCTATTTGCCTAAAAGCAGGCCGTACATTTTCGGTGGTGTGCCTCTGAAACCAGGCATTGAGTTCTACAGACGTCTCTCTACCCAGGACA